CTCAGGGTCCTGGTTAGGGATTTCACGTTTGTGCCCACTTCCTCACTATGAAATGTCACTTCTTCTACTTGGCTCCTTGACGAGAATTGTACACTAAGACAGACCGCAGAAACTGAAACACTTTAAACATTTCCCCTAGAAAGACATTCACGCTTGTGAGCCCAAGCTCCCATTTCAGTCCAAGGAGCTCCTGGTACTTCAAATAGAAGAGTGGAGGTGGGGAGAGATGTCCTGTGTCCAATTTAAATTCCCAATTTGCAGCTTTCTTAGAACTGTTCAGAGGCAGAATTCCACTGGCTTACACATCTGAAATGTATGTTAAACCAACTATTTTTTAGCATCTTTAATAAAAAGTACCTGTTTTCCTAAAGACAAGGACATGAGACTCCTGCTGCAGGGTCTGTCTTTTCTCTTTTACTCCTTCCAAACATGTTTCCTGAACGTTTAGGGCTTCCATCTTCCTGCCTTCCCCTCTAGCCAGGTCCGTCACTGTCCTATATCTGTCACCAGCTCTTATGATCAGTAATGCTGCAGTTCAGGCCAGCAAAGGCTGAACGTGCAAGTGTTGGGAAGCACCCCAAACCTGCTGTAAAATGTGAGTGTGATATGACAACTCTTTTCTGTTCTTAAGTAACTCAGATACAAATAAACTTGCTTAAAAACAGGTGTGGGCCAACAGCAATGCAATACTGAAGCTCTTTTGGTCAAGATTACCTTTGCAAAATGCGTTCAGAGTCACTAAGTTGAGGCAGGAATGGAAATCTTGTCAGTGCTGCCTCTTGTGCAGTTGCTGTGGGGGAAGTGCTGCCCTTCCTGCCCACGTTTGAAGGGAAACCAGGCCTCCAGGCGTGCTCCTCGGAGCATGGGAAGTGCTAACACAGCCTCCTCTCAAGTACTCCCCACGTGTTGCAGCAAGGGTGGCACTTCACAGCAAAACCTTCCCTCCGAAGGAAGTGTTGGTGGTGATAGAAGAGATCTTGGGGCTGCAGAGCCATGCCAAGGACGTGCTGCAGATGTGTAGGAATATTGTGAACACTCTGCAAACTCCTCTGCAGCTACCCCGCAGCCCGGCCCTTAACGCTGGGGGTCTCCTGGGTGCATGCAGGAAGCAAGCCTCGGGGCGTTTACAACCACACACTGGCACTGGTTGTGCTCCTGGGAAGGGGGAGAAGAAAGTATTTTCTAGCCCAAGAGCATGAGGGCTGCTTTCTGACAGGGATGGCTCTGCTGCTTGACCCCTGCTCAGGAAAGGGTGGCAGCTGCCTGCTAAGCCAAAGGGCAAAACTGAGCAGAGGGACAGCCCCCTACCTTGTGGCAGCTGTGTGACCCTGTGCCGGATGGGGACTGGGGAGCACTGCAGGGTGTGCTGGAAGCTGCAAAGCTGGAGCACAGCACAAAGAGCAAAGAGCTGAAGGCGGAAAGAGGGTGAGGGGAATGAGCATAGGGGCATGAAGGGGAGCCAGAGAGACCCCCTTTGCCACTCCCTAGCCTGAGATCTAAGCCAGGAGAAGCATCTGGCTGCTCCTCACTCATTAAAACATTGCTGCTTCGGGGGCAAATGAAGCTCTGATCAGAGATTCCTGTTAAATATTAGCCTGAGGGAATGAGTCACACTGATGGCTGCTCTGTGGGCAGAAGGGCCGCAGCCCGGAGCCATCCCAGATAAGCACCGGGTACCAGGATGTGCGGAGAGCTGTCTCCATTGGAGACAAATGGTGCAGGTGAAGTAAGGAGCAGGCAGTATTTGTCTACCTGCTGGGCTCTCTGTGAGGAGGGAAAAGGTACGCTCTGTTCTGTTTCCGACAACACGTGCAGAAGATAATCTTAGCCCTGCTATTCTGGATGAAAGACTTCTTTCTTCTCTTAGAAGACATGTGCACGATGTCTGAAACAAGACAGTTTGCACGCTGCAGAGGTTAGCAGCCTCTGATAACAAGCAAAACAGGAGGAGACTGGACAGAACTAACCTTCTCTCTGCATCCTTATTTTATCTCAAATTCAGGAACAGGCTCCTGCATAAACTGCAAATTGCTGGCGCTGTAGCCAGGTTATTTGTAAGGCACCTAAGTGGTGGGAAGAGTCATGGCAGACATCCCTAACACTAGTTTTTCCTTTCCAGTGTGTTCCATGGGAAACAGCACCAGCCGGCTCTACAGCGCACTTGCCAAGACGCTGAGCAGCAGCGCCGTGTCCCAGCACCAGGACTGCCTGGAGGAGCTGGACTCGGCACGGCTGGATCCTATAGACCCCAAGGATTTACTGGAGGAATGTCAGATCGTTCTGCAGAAACGTCCACCCAGGTTTCAGAGGGACTTTGTGGACCTGAAGAAAAATGCAGATAGTAATCACCGCCCCATTCGGGTCATGCAGTGGAACATCCTTGCCCAAGGTAGGAGCTACCTCTCCCATACAGCAATGAAAACCTTCAAATGCAGATGTGCCTACATAGTTAGGCATGCCTGGGATTGGCAGAGCAAAGGGAGAGAGGTGAGTTATGTGAGGTAAACTGACTGAGGACCATGGGGGAGATTTTCAGCACTTGAAATAGTAGTGGCTTGCCCTCCATTCTATAGGTGAGGAAAAAAGGTCTGTCCTTGTCACTATGATGCCAAGAGTAGCTCTGAATGCCTGTCTTAACTGAACTGGGTTTATTCAAAAAGCTGTGACCCATCACTTTTAGATAGTTGTTAACCTCCAGAAAGGACTCATTCCTCTGTCAGTTTTATACTTTGTAAAGCTTCTCTACAGTTTTCCAATTTGTGTACTGGTGAACTATTCAGGGACTCAGATCTGTTATGGGAATTCTTAATTCTTCAAAATAATTTTAACTGATTATTTCTCAGGCCCCTAAGTCAAGGCTGTAAGTTGACTTATGCAACAGCCCCACATTAAAATCTTTTGGGGTGGGCAGTTCAGTCAGTTCTACACTAATGCATTTTTTTTTCTTAGGCTTAAGCTGTGGCAGCCACATGTAGAAGCACTTGCCACAGTGTAATAACTTTTGGGAAGAGAGGGAAGAAGTCTTTAATCTAATGTGTATCTATAAAGGGAACTTAATTTTTTTTTTAGAGACTTCAGTGTTTCGAGAAGGGGTTCTCAAACCCATTGGCAAGCCTGGCACCCTTAAAGTCAGCAGCTACTCCTGAAAAACCCATCACCTGCATGTAAACAGATGCACATGTGTTTTACAGAGAAAGCGAAGTGTTGCAAAAGCCTCATGTCACTTTCTGTTATAACTTCTGTTATAGCCTGCCTGCTCTCCTCTCGTGCTGGGCTGCAAGCAGCTGCAAGGTAGCAGCTGGCTCCCAAGGGCAGAGCTTTGCTCTGGCCTCTGAGAAACTTGGAGGAAGACAGCTCATTTTACCTATCTGTAATGTCTGTTTTTCTTTTTCTCCCCCTCCCTGCTAATTTCAGCTCTCGGAGAAGGCAAAGACAACTTTGTTCAGTGCCCCATGGAAGCTCTGAAATGGGAAGAGAGGAAATGCCTCATCCTGGAGGAAATCCTTGCGTACAAGCCTGACATCTTGTGCCTGCAAGAAGTCGACCACTACTTTGACACCTTCCAGCCACTCCTCAGCCGACTTGGCTACCAGTGTACTTTCTTCCCAAAGCCATGGTCCCCGTGCCTAGATGTGGAACAGAACAATGGGCCGGATGGCTGCGCCTTGTTTTTCCTCAAAGACCGCTTTGAGCTCATCAACAGTGCTAACATCCGGCTAACCGCCATGAAGCTGAAAACCAACCAAGTGGCCATAGCTCAGACGCTGAAGTGCAATGAAACTGGAAGACTGTTCTGCATTGCCGTCACTCATCTGAAAGCTCGTACTGGATGGGAGAGGTTTCGGTCTGCGCAAGGCTGCGATCTTCTCCAGAACCTGAAGAGTATTACCCAAGGTGCGAAAATCCCTCTGATCATCTGCGGAGACTTCAACGCGGAGCCAACTGAGGAGGTCTACAGAGAATTTTCCAACTCCAGTCTCAACTTAAACAGCGCGTACAAGCTGCTGAGCCCCGACGGGCAGTCAGAGCCCCCGTACACCACGTGGAAGATCCGGCCCTCAGGAGAGTGCCGGCACACGCTGGATTATATCTGGTATTCCCAGCATGCCTTGAATGTGAACTCAGCCCTTGACCTGCTGACTGAAGAACAAATTGGGCCCAACAGGCTGCCATCATTTAATTACCCCTCTGATCACCTCTCTCTGGTGTGTGACTTTAGTTTTAATCAAGACCCCGACAGACTGCTGTGATGTGGTGGAATGCCACCTGGTATTGCAGTGTCTTAACTCACCACTGCTTTATTTTAGAAGAAAACTTTTGAAGCCGGAAGCTACGGAAGGATGAAGAAATACTGTTGACTAAACATTATTTCAGGCACTTGTTTGGAGTTACACTTGCTGTTCAGCGCTTGTTAATCTGGAGCCCCCAAGGGAGGACGAAAGGAGTCAGTGTTCTCATTCTGGCGTTCTTGCCATGTCAGGGTTTGAAACCGGAAGGCAAATGAGCATTATCCTTTCACTAACTCCCATGTTTAAGGCATAAATCCTCTAATGAATGTGGAGGCCTTAGTATTTAAAACAAACCACTTGTGTTTGTAAAACAACTTGCCCTGACAGCATGCTGATCTTATTTATTTCATGTTAGCCTTTTGCAAGTACCAAAGGGAACAAGGCTCAGTTACTCAGTGAGATTCTCTTAAATCTTTTTTTGTGGCAATACAAAGGAAGCTTAATGCAGTTTAGACATGAACAAATCTAAGCTCATGCTGGTGTTGTCTTCTCATTTTTACATGACTTGAGATGACAGTTTCATTAAAAGTGAATGGGTAATAGCGCAGGGTGAGGAAGGCCCTCTCCAGTAACAGCAAGTGAGGAAATAGAGGCTAACTACATCATACAGTAACATCCTCACCTTTCCAGCTGAACGTGCATGTGTCCATTACACACGTACGACCTGTAGGTACGTATACACAGTGACTGTTAACCTTTGTCTCTTCTGTGCTTCCCTCCAGAGGACACACCTAACCAGGGAGTTTTTTCTCCTCTGCTTCAAGGATTACTTTTCTAAATGGTTAATTTGTAGTCTTGTCAATCTTGCTGTTTCAGTAAAGGGCCAATCTTCATGTTGAAAGACTTTCTTTTATTTATCGTCAGAATCTAAAGCGACACTGGAACCTGTTAGAAGATAAAATTTATTTATTGGGAGAAGTTGGTGATCCTTCATCTGACTTGAAATCATACAGGAACAAGTGTTCAGGAGCCTCTTTCCGTGGCTCAGCGGAACTCTGGCTAAGCACTTAGGCTACCACAGAGCTGTGTTAGTATAGTAACTCCTGTGCACAAAACGGTGCTCATTGGTATGACATAGGTATCACATATATGGATTACAAACGTGCTACTGTGCCAGAAAATGAGGGAGGGAGAGGAGGAAAGACAGGCAACAGTTGGAGTTGGGCTGACATTTAGGTAGTTGGAAAAGACAAGGCAGAGCAAATAAAACAGAACTTCCATGTAAAGTAAGGCCCATAGTAACTCTTAAATGTTCCAGGTGTTTATTAATAAAAGTCTTCGGGAAAAAAAGTAGTGTCTCTGCTGCCATCTTTTTCATTTCCCTGTCATTAAGTAGGTGATCTGTCTCAACTAGTGACTGTTCAAGTCAGTGGTAATGCTACTCATTCCAGACCTCTTTCCCCCAACCCTGCAGTCCTAATTGTAAGCTGGCATGGCTGCTTTGCTTTCATGGCAAGCGCTCTTTCTCAAAATTGAAACGCTGAAACTCCGCAGCAAGTCTGTAGGGAAGGGAGTTACTTTTAGCGATGATAAGCTGCTCTCTTCCCTAGATAAAAAGGAAGCCTAGACTCTGTATTACTGTAAATATTATTCTTTCCAACAGTTGTGTGGAGCTACAAACCTGGCCAGTACTGCAAAGCAGAGTGCAGGTATTCCTCCCTCAGGGCTGCTAAGCATGCCTGGCAGAGCTGGCTCCTCACAACAGGCAACTCTATTTGTCACTTTCTTTTAAACATCAATTGAAGAGCAAGAAATGCCACAGGTATGTGCGTTACACAGCCCATAAATTATTGTATTGGTGTTGCTGGGAAGTGAAATATAGAGTCTGGCTACTGGAAGTCCCAAATTCCCACACAAACATGCTCCCTTTCAGGCAAACACGTGAAGTGCTATGTTGGACAGCTGTAACACAGAATCATTAAGGTTGGAAAAGACCTCAAGGATCATCAAGTCCAACTGTCAACCCAACACCACCCAACCCACTAAACCATGTCCTGAAGCACCACATCTACATGCTTGTGTAGGTGCTCACACTCTGGTGAAAGAGTTATGCTTTTATATAACCGGAGTATTCACAGCAGAAACAACAGACCTCTGTGTTCACAGCGTTGTTCCCAAAAGGTGTATCTTCTCTGGAACTCAAAGGTGCTCTGCATGTGTCCCTGACCACTGCAGGATAAGGGCAATGATCAGCTTCCACGCAGAGCTGAGGCCTGTCTAACCAGCCTGGAATGCAGGACTCTTCTAGCAAGCACAGATTTGAAATTCCCCAGACAGAAAAGATTTTTGCAGGCAAGGAGCCTGATTTCCTTGGTATATAGTCCTACTGAACAGATGTGACATATCAATGCTACCAGCCAGTGCCTCCTTCAGCTGTGCTTTCAAAAAGAACAAATCTTTGTTGTGTCCCTTGAAGCCAGAAGGGGTGGCTGCTTTGGGGGAGATTCTGGGACACAGATCCAGACACTCCTAATGTCGCACAGAAAGGCAGACCTTTGAGCATCCCTGCTGTAAGCATTTCATACCAGCTAGACTGAGCTTCATTTTCACGGTGCTGGCTGCTCTCAATTGCTCTCTGAGGGGGTGAGATGTAGCGCTTCTCCTTTAGGGTTGTCCCCCCTTAGGATCTTCCCTCAAACGGTCTTTGCAAGAAGGAGAAATAATACAATTGCCCATTAATGGCTGTGTCTAGTTATCTGTAGCTAAACACTTCTAAAAGCAACACCACAATGTAGACCTGTAAGATGATACCTTTACTTAATCAATTCCTTGCTCATTTACCACAAAAAGACACACCAGAAACTGGAGTTTCCATTCAAACCCTCTTGGCAATTTCCGGAAGAAACTACACTTGTGGTAGGAAGCTGTGACACAAGAGCAAGGAAAATATTGTACTCAGAGCTGTACTTAAAAAAACCAAAACCAAAAACCAAACCAAACAACAACAGACAAACTACCAAAAAACCCAACAACAACAAAAAGCCCTTAATTTCCATTTTCATTTTGCATAAGCAGCTGTTTTCCTAAGGATAGCTGAGGGTGTTCATCAATGTGGTACTGCTTCACCCCTCCCGGGGCACAGCGCCACAGCACCGATTATGGTAGGCTTTGTTTACCAGCAGGAGCCAAACTATGGCAGTGACGAAACTCCCACTGTCAGTCTCACAGGGTGATGATATTTGGTATCTGGATGACTCATGCCATTTTACTCAGACCCTTGCTTTCAACACTAACTCTCCTACAAAAGAAAGCAAACTGGAGAAACATGATTTGTACGATTCTGCCATCACTGCAGAGTGTTTCCGAAGTGGAAAGGGCCGGGATTGTTATTTCGCCCTGGACACGTGACAGTAGATGTGCACTGCTTCATGTCCTTAAAGGGCAATTTTGAAGGCAAGGGGAGGGTGGAATAACTGAAAATGCTGGAGACTCTCCCCCACCACAAGGCAATTCTTAATATTAACATAACTCAATCACAAATCCCTGCTATAGGACAACAGTGAACTCTTCCTGTTGTCTTTTAACAGAAAATAGAGGAGATGCAGAAATTAACTGCTACCTTCCCAGTCAGCTTCAGCCTTCTATTCCAGTCCTCGCTAAAAAGTGTATTTTGCAGACAGAGTCCTTTGGAAAACTGAAGTGAAATATCGCTCTTGCTTTGTTTTATTCAGCAAGGGGCAGACCTGCAGCACTGAAATGCTTTTGCCTGCTATAAATATCAGTACAGTAAATATTTTTCATAGGAAGGAGCAGGAAGGTTTTTCTTTTTTTTTTTTTTTTCCTATGCAGCACTATGACTCTTACAGTAAAAATGTCTTCGAAGCTCTTCTTGTGGCTGTCTGCCTTATAAGCACACCAAGGCTAAAGAAAGTCTCAACAGATCCCTTGCTCTAATCTTGAATAAAAGCTGCATTAGCTTTAGCTGTGAGTTTTCCCTCACCCTCAAGCTAGCTGAAGGAAGAAATGACCCACTTATTTAATTTGCTGAAAGGCAGAAGCTGCTGCAATCTTATTAAAACACTATCTCTCTTGATGAACAATTAGATCCTAAGTAGATACTGTCGCTTGGGTCTTCTTCACTTAATAAGCTTAATACCTGCTATTTGAACTGTCTCTGTGAGGTAAAAACTGAATTTAGCTTGTTCTGGATGTGACAATCTTCATGCGTAACAGAGA